ATCGGGCAAAAAGAGACGTTTGCTCTAGACCCCCAGTCCAGTCTTCGAACAGAAAGAGAGAGAGAAATGGGGTTTAACGTCCACTCGACACAAACTAGGTCATTTCGGGACTAACATATGGTTTAATTTTATTTCAATAATTCGCTTGCGCGTAGGGGTCTTTAGCAGTGGGAGGAAACCGGAGGACCCGGAGAAAACCCACGAAGTTGGACCTTCGAACAGAAAAGAAAACATAATGAAGTAATGGATCAAATGCTAAACGTGCAGAGCGTGTGGGGCAGGGAGGGGCGAGATACGGACGTGTTCAATAATTCGCTAATTGCGCCGGCCAGAGGTCTTTAGCATTTGGGAGAACCCACCACAGAAGCTAGGAGGTTAAGCAGATAGTTTTCTTTTTTCGCGTACTTGACCGTTTGTATCGATGACGTAATATGATATATTGTTAGACACATACCCCATATGTCTAGAAGTTCTTAGCCCATTGCAAAATAGTCAATGGCGATTTTTATCAAAGTTTTTACTCAGAAATCAAATGAGAATATTTGATATTTGGCATATGACACCGATTTAAAGGAAGCCAAAATGTTACCATTATTATAGTTTATATTCTTTATGTTTCGTATTGTCTCTACATGTACAAATAGTATATATAATCCAATTTATTATACTATTAATAGGCCAATTCTTATCTATACAGAGTTATCTGTACTGTTTACATAACATTAGTTCATCATAAATAAGTTCAACAATATTAATGACGCGAAAATATCCAGTTATATTATGACATGTATAAGTGACTGAAGAATAGACAATAATTATGTCTACTAAATTAAAAAAGGCGCTTAGCAAGTTCTTATCCTGTTATTCATTGAACACATCTGATTAACGAATGAATGAGTTAATGAATAAATGGGGTTTTACGTCCTATTGTCTGATGAACAATAATCCATGTGTATAATAGTTATAATTAACACCCTTATAAGAATTAATAATTATAACAGCCTTGACCTGATAGGATAACCACAAAATGTGTCTCTTTGATTATATAGTATACTTAAAATCTTTTTCGTTTTCTGAAATAGTACATCTTACCACCTGTTAATACGATTTCCGACAGGGTAAAGGCACAATAATTTGAAATGATTTAAATCGATATACAATTCTTGTTTTTGACTCTTGATACGTATGAACGATTGGGTTTGATGAGCATTTGAGTTCAAATGAAATGAATTAACCCCATATTTATGTTATCATAACATGTTTTAATTGTTTTTTGTTTTTGTTTTTATTCATGTATTTAGGTTTTCTGGTTTCTTTGTATTTTAATTGTTTCCTCAGTTAAAAGAGTAGTGCCCCTTGGAGTGGTCGTTGTTCTGACATTGGAATTGCTATATAGTTTCGGCTCTATAATAGCAATAATTATTTAAAAAGTACAGTATAGTATATAAATATAAATACCATTTAATAGAATGAATAGTTAGGATTATTTATTACTGTGAAATATGTAAAATATGTATTGCTGATCTTGTTAAATAATATAATTTATTGTGGTTATCATAGATATATTGCTTAAACACAGATAAAAATCGTCAGTGTAATACTGGGCAATAAACAGGATATGGTTTATCTGGTACCGTATCTATCTAAATTAAGGATAGTAACATTCGTTATATATTGAGACGGGAAGAATTATGTCACGTCCATTCGTTATATATTGAAACGGGAAGAATAATAATTGTGTCACGTCAGTCACCATTTTACAACGGTACAAATATGCCGTTGCCCTTGCAAAATTATTTTTTTAAATTGCACCAGAGTGTATTTGAACTTTTGTTCTGAACACCCACGAAATATAACCAAGAAAGCTGGAGTAATGTTATCAAATTTGTCACACTCTAAATATATTATAAATGTATTCTTTGAAAAAAAATGATATAATGGGTGTTTAGGCCTAGCTATAGTCTATTGATGAAATTGGAAACTTTTACGAATCGTACACATATACCAATACATTCGGCTAACTGTATTAATGACCACCATTATCCATACCGCCATCGTTATGGTCACACGTTATTTCTATGAAATATTTTTTTTTATTAAAGATTATCGTCAAATAAGTATTGAATGATTTCATTGTGTAAAAACTACCTGTTGAACTTATCGAGCCCTAAACTAACTGCAGTTATATAACATGGTCATATGTGATTTACGAGCCTTCCGATCTAGACATATCTAGAGGCATTATAGATGGCCTTTTTATAAATGGGGTGTTTTATCGGTTAGGGCTAAGAAGTTGTAAAAAGCCTTACTCGACAAAAATTTGGAACATAAAATCTGTGACCCGGGGGGTTTGTGTGGGCTATTTTCTGAGGCATAAATTTGTCAATAGATAAAATGTTTGGCACGTCAACTCTGTTATCGGTCTTTACTGATACAAGTATAAGTCAGTAAACAGGACTGGGGATATATTGAAGAGCCAATAGTTGAAAGTGTGCGTAAAATAAACGTCTTTACGGCATGTATAGGTAAAATGATAGTATGTAATATTTACCAATCTGTCAAATAGAAATATATCTTATACTTACAATATTATATACTTAGGTTGTATTAAACGTGGAATATTTTAGCTTAAATAGACCTTTAGTGACATAAAACATTTCCCAGCGGATTTAAAAATAGGAGAATACCAATCGACTAAAATATTCAGTTTATTTATGTATACAATAAACATTATATTATATTATATGATATACGGGGGTCACGGTGGCTAAGTGGGTAGGACGCTGGCGCGCTAGCCTGGAGGTCGTCGGGTGTCCGATACCTGCATTTGCCGAGAAAGTTCTCATGCAGATTTTCCGGCGTGGCTCCCCCTTGTTATAGTGATGCAGAACGGGAGGGCCTGATAAGGACAGCTGTCTAGTCGTTAGGGTGGGACGAAAAACTGAGGTCGCATGTACAAGAGATCCCTTGACAGTTGGAATTCGATATAAGAGAAGGCCGTAGTGCCGCTGTCCGGGCAAAATTTCCCTCATAGCACACTGTGTGGCGTATGCCCGTCTTCATTAGCCAAGTTCGGAGCAGAACAGTAGGACGTTAAACAGAATATATAGACTATTGCTACCGGATTTCCTAACAGTAAACCTGTATGATTAAGATATATTTGATATATGTATAATATTATAAACAGGATACCTGACTATGAGGATTTATAGACTTATGTCAACAACGCAAAGTAAATATATGCATCAGTGTAGTTTTTACTACAGTAGTTATGGTACACTTCACATATTTCTAGCAATCTCTGTGCATTTTATAACCTGTTATTAACGCCTTACACTTAATCACGACTGAGGGTAGATCTATAGTCGTTTTATTTCAAAATTATATACAAACACTTATTCACAGAATTTCAAACATAATAATTTATAAACAGACCAATGTAGTTTTAATTGAAATTTAACAACAGTAACAAGCGCCTGTTAATTCAGATTATAGTGTTAGCAAAATTTGAGACAAATCTGCGATGCCATCGCTGAGATATAAGACTTGGCTTTTATTCTTGTTTAAATTTAGGACTTCAAATTTCAAAATAGTTTTCAGTGTGTTTAAAGAACGCTCGTGAAAAATAGTATCCTAAGTGGGTCAACACTTTGATGTTATTCAAAATAAATTATATTTGTTATCTTGATGAAGGTGATAATGCCCCTTTAAAACCCTTCTATATAAAGTTATGATAATATTTAAATTACTAAACCATATAATACATACCAGCCATGTATAGATAAGCTACAAATAAAGGCAGAAATTGAGAAAGCATAACAAATTATATTATTTCATTTCTCTTCGCTTCAATTTATTTTTAGGAAGAAATTGACATGTTTCTATGTTGTTGAAGTGCTGAATGAATAGATATATATATAGATTAGATAGTGTTTTGTCATACATGTCAAGTACGGGAATTTTACGGATCATACACACTTACCATATATAGTAAACACAAAACATCAACCAGCCAAAACACCCGTTAAAATATAAAATGCTTCTTTCATAGGGAAGGTCGACGAGTCTATTATCACTGAATAAAACCTTAAATTAGCAGGGCTTTTACCGTTACCCAAACGATCCTACAAAAGGTACAATTTTAATATGGAGTCAAATTTCCAGAAACTTCCGTTAGGTTGATTTTGTTTACCATATATTAGTTATTTTTGCGTATTTTCAAGTTTAAATTAAATGAAAAAGATGTAATATACCATCAAATTAATGCGTTCTTAGTCTATCTTAATGTATTTTTTCTTTCTTCTCTTGTCATTAAAAGTTATTTTATACAAAGTTGTAAAGATAAGTTCTTTGTCCTGCAGCAGATATTATTGAAAGTCCTGCTTAAATCATAATGGTTAACGGATTATATAATGTAACCCCCCGACCTATAATCTCAATTGATCACATATCAATAGTCGTAATTAGTATAGGCCCCCTATGAACAGAGAGGTGTAGCCTAATAGACACGTTAGAGACCCATCAATTTATATTTTTTCTCATAACTTTCTTTTTCATTAAATCAATTATATACGCATTTGATTAAAATACAACCGAAAATATCCAAATTTAAGTTCCTTATACTCATTTTATGATAAAGATCGGCTATATGAGTGTGCTAGCAATATGGTACGATGAGTTGGTCGATTTATCTATCTATATAGTATTATTATTATGGCTACTTATTATTTCACCACTAGAATTATTTGAAGCCGCGAGTCTATACTTGGTATACTGTGAAAAATAATTCTGGGTACAGACGTTATCCATATACTTGCAAATAATAAACACTGTAAATGAGAATCGAGTAAAAATTTGAAAGAATTATAACGCTGGGCTTATTAATTAACTTCTTATTCATAATTTAATCGATTTATAGTATTTAATTCCATATATGGATCATCAATCCATCCTGTTTTGGCATGTTAGCCAATCGCTAGTCAGTATATCCTAAACACGATCTGGCAGATCGAGAATAAAACGTTATCACGTGACTGTCCCACCCTGGTGTCTTCTGTAGTGTGACAAGATGGCGGGTGAATTTACTCCTGATCAGCTCAAGGAATTATGCGATGTATTTGAAACGGTAAGTTATTGAATGTTTTACACATCAAATGTCATAAAATTATATTTGTATGATTTATTTGATTAACATTAAATTTATGTATTTAGCGACCTGTCACGCCGAGAAACCGGCGAAGGAAAGAGACGGAAGTTCAATTTTTTTGTCGTCTGCCCTGGACTTGCGACGAGATTTTGAAGGGTATCACACAGTGGTTTGCTAAGAATTCGATAGGCCTAGCGGACTTAATATCATTAAACTAATATAAAAGAAATGGTAGCTTTTAGGCCATTACCGATTTTTAGGCTATGTCATAATATGATAAAATAGAATCCTTATAATTTATAATTCTCAATTTTTACTAGAAACTAGAAATTTTGTTTTCCTATTTAAGATTTAACTAGGCCTAGAGTAGAGCCTGCTACAGTACAAAAAGCAAAACTCGTAGATATCAATTTTATATAGGCTACAAATACTGTAAAAAAAAAAAGGTGTTTTCTTTGGGATAGGCTAATGATTAGGCCTAGTCTACAATAGCCTAGCCTACATTCAACAAGTACAAATGAAATACTGAAATAGGACCTACCAGTACCACATAGTTGGCACTGGCTGGGTGTACCTGGTCTGGTAGATAGAAATAAGAACTGTAGCAACCTAAAACCTAATTCAATTCTTTTCTGTACTATTTTATATTTTAAGTGCAATTTATACATTGAGAATATGTGCGATAAAGCTTCATGTTGTATTGAACTACACTCTTCTCCAAGGACAGCACAAAAACCATTAACCGTGTCGACTTTCTATAGTTAACAAGGATGATAAACTTGCCTATTGAAAACTTTATGAATGGATACCTGTGCATGTAACTGAAGAAGGGCTTGTCTTTGCTTTGCTGTCACTTTTATTATTTCTTCATACTGGTTGGCATAGGATTACTGATATCACCATGACTTGGCCTACATAAATAAGTAACAACCCCACATAAACTATAAGGAGAATTGGGTAGGGTTCAATCCTGGATTTACCTTTATATTCAGTGTGTACTTTATGGCTGTGATTTATCTTTTTTTATTGACCAATAACCAAAATATCTCTGCTATAATAGGCCATTTCATTTAGGTCAGTATGGTGCAATATTATGATTGACACATACTGATGGATGATAGTACTGTAGTGTCAATCAATGGAGCATAAAAAGTGGCATTTAATAATGGAAGAGGTTATTCATAAACACACTTATTTAGGGTGAGGGTAACTTTTATTTGGACCCTCTGTATAATAAACAAGCACAAGGACTGCTTGGTAGCTTTGATAAGCTAGGCTTTCAGTCCTTATTTTTTAAGGCGAGCGATCGCTCTTGAGCACCTGCTGCTAACCTGAATGTCGACCGAGGGAGTTTTTTTCCCCTCCCCTTAAAATCGAAAATCGCTCTCCATTACAAAGTCATTAAGGGTTTATTGTCATTTGTGAAACCAGGAATGATCCCCTAACATGCGGTTATTGATCTTCAGAACCATTTCCCATACATACAACGAATCACTGTCCTTAATATCAGATCACTCTTCATAATTTCTAAATCACTCTTCTTAACAAAATTGGGAGAGTTTTTTTAGGGTAGCGATTTTTTTGTTAATTGAGGGGATCTTTTTTTTGACTCTCCTCTGAAATACAAACAACAACGACTGGGCTTTGATCATCAATACTTCCATTAGTATTTACAATTTAATTGTTATTTGTAAACACTGTGGCTATGAATAACCTCTTCCTTTAATAATAACAAAGTTTAAGTCTGACTACCCAGTACTTGACGTAGGACAGAGATCATTCTATTAAAAGTCTGAAAACAAGGATTTTGTAAATACTTCCTTTAACATTGTTAGAACTTGGCAAAGATTGAATTTAATATTGTCGGTTCACAATAAAAATCTGTTATTGAATTGGAGAAAAGATTTATTTTCCTTGTTCACTTCAACTCTCTGTGACTGTAAGAATAGATAATGTTTTTAGGTCAATTGCCTTGCATTTAAATGCAAATGAAAAATCTTGATTTCTATTTTCTTGTGTTGTTTTTGTCTTGGACCTTGTGCCTTGAGGTGTTCTGTTGACTCAGACTTATGATTTAAAATAAGGAACATATGTGTTGACAAGAAGTTTGGTATGAGTCATTTCCTTTTGAAATTGTGATCACCATGGTAATGTAACTTCATGTTATGTGTTAGTAATTGTTTAAAGAAAAATATTCACAAAATAGTAAACAGTTCTTTTTCTTCTATTTCCTCTCAAATAAGAAATATATACATTGCAGTGGAACTTGGAACTTCACAGAGAAAACAATTGAGTAAGACAGAACATTTTCAAAATGCCATATTGCAACAGTTCTGAGAAAAACAAAATGTATTTGAATATGAGCATCCTTGTCCCTACCAAGTACAATACGGTTAGACCCCTGTAAGGCCCTGTTAATAAATTATTAACATGCATGTAAGCCTTCATTTGTACACTTATGATTAGTTCACAATTCATTTTCATGTGTGTACGTTATTAAAGTACATGTTCTAAACGTTGCATGAAATTCTACTGGATTGACCATGTAGTAATGAAACTGGTAGCCCACTAGCCCTCCGCTCAATATTCTACTATATTTGTAAATGATTAAAAGCTTTATAATCCATAAAATAGAAAATATATATATCAGTAGTACCGGTACATAAATAATATTTGTACATGTGAGCAGACTGTAGGTACATACTATATGGTCTGACTCAACGAATCAATATATTGTTCTTTATTGGTAGGTCCTGTATTGTATACTGTGTTTATTGATGTTATTGAACACTTTATAATAAATAATAATAAAATAATAAATGCTATGGAAGTTGTGAAGATTATTTAATGTGTAAACATTGCCATGATACATGTATGTCAGAAAGAAGTGTACATGTAAATGTTTTAATCAATGCTTTCTTTAAAAGGTTTGTGGTCCTGTTTCAAGGGGTTGAGTCTTGAGATTTCATCAATTTCCATATTTCCATAGTTGAAAGGGATCATTCTACAATGTAGTATAGCATTACACACAAGGACTTGAAGAATTCTTAATATTTACATATTTTTAAGACATTGAATAGTTCATAGATCAACCCAAAAATTAATTTTTTATCATGAAGAGGCAGAGGCTCTGTTTAAATAATGATTAATCAAGTGTTAAAGTAAATCAAGTGAATATAAGCTTACAGTAATTTGTATGTGCGTCCCTTTAAACACGATTTCTAAACATGCATTTTTATTTTTGGAGCTTTCCCATATGAATGCATGCCAGTTGATTGAATTGAATACATATCTGATTCAGGCACAACTTTATGAATGTTTGTAGACAAATATGATCAAAAGACAGAAGTGTACTAATGACATTGATGTCATAAAATCCCATTCAGTGTGCTCTGTTCCATTGATAGCATGACCCAACATAACTCGGGTAAACTGGAGGCATATTTTATTTATGTAATGTATTCAGACTTGAAAAGCTAATAAAGTGATAAATGTTTCTATTCATGTTCATTTGGCAGTGTGTGAATTATTAAATTGGCAATATGTAAGCTTTTACCAGTCCCTATAGATTAAATATGATTACTGCTTGGACACACTTTTATTGATTTCTGGTTGACTGACTAAACTGTTGAGACTTCAAAAACAAGATAGTATTTATTCATATTTCTTACTAACTTTGAAATAACCTCAATAACATAAGGAAAAAGTCATACATAATTACATATAAACTAATGAAATGAATTAGGATTGAATATCCTACTTTTCTGCACTAACCATCTTGGCTTATGAAGACGGATGTATGCTGTGGGGTGTACATATGTTTCTTTGCCTGGCAACCAATCTTGATCAATTTTCATACCAGTTTTGCCATCTTTACAGACCATTGAAATATTTATATTGGATGGCAAGTGCATGTATAGTTCATTAATGAACCAAAACCTATGATACAAGTAACCATGGTAAATGACTAAATGTACATGTAAATGTTGAGCATTAAAAACAATAACATGATTCTTTAAATGTATTAAAGGAAGATGTACATTTAGACAAAATAAAAGGTGATTTGAGGATTAATTCTACACAGCGCAGCACTACTAAACTGTGTAACGAAGACAAAGCCCTTACAACCACATTCAAAAGATATATAAGTGGCAATATTAATCCAAATGTCAAGCTTGAAAGAAAACATTTGATATGTGAATCTGCAAAAGGCTATTATGACATATGAGGCGGATGACATTCAATCGTTTCGGTTTTTACTGTAATTTCTAATCAGTTATGTTCGGCGAAATACGCCATATGTCTCATGTGAATGGCAATCTTTAGCGTCTGGTTTTTCCAGTCTACACCGATGGTATTTATTGCGCATGCTCTCCAGATAAGAATGTGAATATAGCGTCACCATTTGATGTGACTTGTGGAATATGTCTAGCCCTGTTCTTTGAGTCCCTTGTTCCAAATGGCACTGAAACGCATTATGGTACACGATTCGTGTACCAATGGTAAAATGTTTATTTTGTCTTGAATATTGGATATCAGAAGCCCATCTTTTCCCTGTAAGATCACAAGACCAATGTTGATTTGAATTGACAAATAATTCGTGTTTTCAATGTCGAAGATTTTTGATGATATTGAGTTAGAGACTTAGCTACTTTAACTCTCTAGAGTTTGGTGTATTGCAACTTGAACACTTGTCTTGTCTTGTCTCAAGAACTACTTGGTACATTGGACAACATGTTAAACCTTGAACTAACATGTAGACCAAGATGGTTGATAGAGTTGTGTTAATTGTGTAATAATGAGCTGAGGTCTATATCTCACAGTTCATATTGACATATAATCTGGTCCTCATAACTTACATCATCCTGTAGTATGATCTTATGTGATGTGAAGTAACACTTACACCATGGTAGATATACATGTATTGAACAAGATAACTATACATGTCAAGGCTCATGAAATATATCTTGCTGATCTAT